CTTGAGTATGATGAGAAAGTTCACCTTTGGAGTTGACTTAGTTGATCTAGGAGTTACACGCTCGGCAACTGACTTTCTGACACTAAAACGAATGGTAAGTATCAAACACAATTTGCAATCAATGGTTACTTCTGTGGAATGGATGGAGAGCCCACATTCAAAGAAACCAGAGGGGTTCGCTGTGCTAGATTATATCAGTAATCAGTCCTTTTGGTCTACTTGCAGCTTGATTACANTTGATTACCCGCTTGACAGATCCCATCTTGAGGCTTTTGAGGATAGTCTGTAGTGAGGAGAGGCCTGCGATGGCATATGTTTATGCAGGGCTCTATCGAGCAAAAGAAACAATTAAGAGCGAGCTTGTGAATAAGAAGGATTACTTAGTTTATTGGAATATTATAGATCACAGGTGGGAACCACTTCAGCGACATCCTCTTCATGCTGCGGGGTTTTACCTCAATCCCAAGTTTTTCTATACTACTGCGGAAGAGTTGGGCCTCCATATCAGATCACTTTTATATGATTGTATAGAGAAATTGGTTCCTGATCCTAAAATCCAAGACAAAATTGGGAAAGAAACTACTTCTTACCACAATGGTGCTGGAGATTTTGGGAGGAAAATGGCAGTGAGAGCCAGAGACTCTCTTTTTCCTGGTGAGTGTCATTCCATGAAATGGATTCCTGTGTACACCTACTATTTGTGTGGTTTAAATGTCCAAACTATTAGTGGTTTGGCAAAGTTACTTTAATCAACTTGAATATGACCTCTTACCTATGTTCTGGGAGTTTCTTGTAGGTAGAGTGTCAAATGCCAGTATCTCTATCCCTCTTCAGTCTAACTCCTCTCGGATAGTCTAGTGGTCGCAATCATCATTGGAAGAATCACTTCATTCAAAACAAATTTACATATTATATTTTCTTTATTCATTTCTATTTCTTGTTTAGTTCCCTTTTCTTTCTAGTGTGTCGGCTTATGGCGACAAGCTTTTATTTGTATAGGCTTGATAGAAATTGATGGATACTTATTTTTCTTAAGATCCTTTGATCAGAGAAAATCTCTTTTTGTTAACGGACGCAAGCAAGTTCGAACCATGCTCTGTTGCATAGAATGTATTCTTCTAGTTACAAGAAACCATGTAAACATGTTTGCATTCTTGGTCAAGGTTTCAAGCTGCGTCAGTTGTTAACTAGTATCTCTCCCATTAAATTGCCCTTTGTTTGCATATATTTGACATTACAGATTATGGAGAAAAGTTAAATTCTTTTTTGTCCAACCATGTCAGTTTCTTTAGTTCTGTAATTATTGGATTTTGGCAAAGCAAATTAACAAGTAGTAATAATTTAGCATCACACTCCTGGGAATGTGAGTATTTGTCTGTTTCAAAAGTGTGTAAAGTCATTACGTTGTAATTCTTGCAGCTGATTGGTGGTCAACTTATGGTGGAGGATGCCCAAATTTGGCTCGCCTGGCCATCCGTATTCTCAGTCAAACATCAAGTTTGATCAGGTTCAAGCCAGGTCGAATTCCTTTAGAAGAGATGCATGAGACAAAAAATTGCATTGAGCATCAAAGACTTAATGATCTTGCTTTTGTTCACTACAACTTGTGGCTGAGGCAAAGGTAAAGGGAGAAATTTACAAACTGTTGTCCTTTTCTTGAGATGAAATAGAGTGTGTCTAATTTATTGCTTACAGCAATAGGAAAAACATGGATCCGGACTGTATGGACTCCATCTCCTATGACAAAATGGAGCTTGTTCATGACTGGGTTTCCAGAAGGGAACTAAGCTCGGAGGACATGGAAAGTTCAGACTGGATGACAGTTGACCCACCTTCAGGCAGCATAGCTCCCTTAGGTCCACTAGTTGATGATATTGAAGCCTTAGGTGCAGGTAACTTATGTTTCTCACTTACGAAATCTTTGTTAGTTGCAATCTTTTGACGATCATGACCGTCTACCACAGGTTTTGATGATTTTGAAATTCTTGGTGGGGGCCCAAAAGATAGTGAAGAAGAGAATGGAGAGGAGAATACTATAAATAAGTGAACTTTTGCTATAGAAGATTCTTGTTCTGTTGGAAGGAAATGGGAAGATTATGCTGAGTCCAGTGTGGTGGTGAGGTGGACCTTAATTTTAAGCCATAACAAATGGTAGCGAGCAAAATTGAAGATTTGGTGTCGATGCTCAGTTGTTATGTGCTATTCCTCTACACAAGCTTGTTTCGTTTGTATCTTCCCATTACTGCTGATAGCAATCTCATGTAGCATGTGATGTAGACATTAATCTCTTTTTCTTTAAATAGAAGCTGTTGCCTGTTAGGCAGGCCTTGTTTGTTGAATGGTGTGACTGATTGAGAATCTGGAATCATTCCGAGAAGTCATTGGTATCTCAGCAATGCAGAGCAGCTGGACTAAATCTTTCTTTAGAAGAATATAGGGAGGGGGAAAGATTTTTTGAAACTGGTTCTGATTTTTCTACTTTCCTCCTGCATCTTGGTGAAGTTCCAGAGTTTCCGGGTGGATTCTTTTCTTGCATCTGTGGAAATTGCATCAAATTTTGGGAGTTGACAGGCCGAGCTAGAATGTTATCCTTCTTTTCTGAAGCTCGATTGAAATTACATGTAGATTATGTTCATATTTTTGAATGTCAACTGCCTTTCAGGTTTTACATCCGATGTTCTTTCGTTCATTAGCTTTTTTTTTTTAATGGCGGTGGAGATCCTGTCAGGAAATGTTATTACTGGCACTCGTTTCTTTTTGCTTATCTTTCTTGCTTTCTTTCCATGAGCATAATGAAGGTTTGCTGGACTTTTTGAACAAAAAGAAGTAGCAACGCTAAGGCGTCCGAATTTCATTTACAGTGAGAGTGTCGACTTTCACATTCGTCTTCTGCAGCTTCGATGCAAGCCAGCCAAAAGATACCGAGACATGACAACGCATGGACATTGGAAGATGATTTTTGGTAAAGAGATGCAGAGGGAGTTGGTAGGAGAAGACAATTAAAGGATCGGATTTTAACAGGTGCTTGTAAGTATCTTCCCATATTTGGTATTTTCATAAGATGGGCAAGTCCCGAAAGTGATCTTAGGTGGGCACATACTCTGCAGTAAGCTACACAGCAGGACATAAATATACAAAACTTGGAAAATAAACTAAGGGTCTGTTTGGAAAGCCACCCAGTAATTGAAATTGGTGTAACAACCTAGTAATTACGATAACCTGTTTGTTTGTTATAACGTAATTACAGTGTAATTACAAGCGTACTGTTTGGTTGCACAAGTGTAATTATACAGTTAGATAAATTTTAACAACCCAGTAAAATTTCACTAGTGAGGTCTGGGGAGAGTAGTGTGTACGTAGACCTTACCCCTATCCCGAAAGAGTAGAGTGGTTGTTTCTGAAAGACCTCGGCTCAAGAAAACAAAAAAACAAAAGGAGACAATATTAGAATCACCATAAAAATCATAGGAAAAATAGGAACAACATGAAACCCAGAAGAAAGATGCAAAACAAAAGCGATAGATAGATAAATTTTAAATGAAGTAATTATCAAAACTTAAGAGTTAATATAATAATATATGCCTATAAATATTTTTTTTAAGAATAAATGATATTAAATTTAATATTTAAGATGCATATTTTTTCTTGAATATACATTAATGAGTAATTATATATTTATAACTAATATTGTAAAAATAACTGATACATATTTTCCAAATTTATTATATTTAGTTTAGTTAATTAAAAAAACTATAAATATATGTTTTGTAAGGACATCATAAAATGCATGTTTGATAAAATAAATGAATATTTATAAATATAATGTCATAACATTATTTAAATGTTTGACAAAACTAATCTATCAACTCTAACTAAAAAATGAACAACATGCAATGTGAAATAACAAGTTAATACTAATAAAACACATAAATTGGAACCATAAATAAAACACAATTTCAAAATAGAAAAGAAAGTGACATGTGAAACCAAAGGCAAAAGATAGCTAAACCTGAAGGCAATGATCTCGCTTGTCACCGGAGAGAATGATACCAATAACGACAAAATTAATGTCGATATCCGGTAGCATTCAATGAGGAATATTCTACAACATTAAGTGCATGATCCGTTGTAGAGAATATGGTATTCATTGTCCACCGTTACATATCCTTCAATGGCCCTCATAATTGTCATTAAAGGGGAGCTTAATCCCAGGACCTTGTTCCCTAGGTGCAACTATAAATAGTGAGTTTTATCATCATTGTAAAGGACACAATTTTTTTTGATAAACATGCACTAGATGTCATGCCCCAACATCGGGAAGCGCGACCGGCGCTCAACTGAGTGGACCTGGTCGAGCAAGCTTGTTAGACACTTCCTATCCAACTCGCTTATGATCAAGAGAATGCGCGTCGCCATTAGTTTAAGTAGTAGAAGGATCATATATATACAACATTCCTAATTCATTTCATTTTACTACATCATTGTTAAGTTTCCAAAATACATACACTTTATAATCTAGTGGAACAAGAGTCCAAAACACATCATAATCCACCTGACCTTTCTAGCACCCATACACAACCCACATAAATATCGACGAAGCCTCTAAAGATACAAAAGACAGTCATGATAATTCCGGCAACAAAGTCATGGCTATACCTCAAAACGTGGTAAACATATAAATAAAAGATGCACTACATAACTCTGGGATGAAATGAGGCTCACCAAGTCTGTTGGGAAGATGATGATGATGTACCACTAGTTGCGATCAACACTGTCTGCTATGGAACCACCTACATCCATTTAAAGATGTAGTGCCCCTAGCAAAAGGGACGTTAGTACTGTCGAATAGTACTAGTATGTAAAGCTAAACACCAATCTTAATAGAATGAACAATGAAACAAAGGAGAAGCAATCATGATGTACAATAAGAGCTTCAAACAATACTAAAACATCAAGTAAGGATCACATAAGTTCTCGGTTCAGTTTCCATTTTATTAGGTTGATAATCCTTAGTGCCATGTGCCACAATTCACAATACCACCGTGTTCTTACACGGAGTCCGATCTCGACCCGATCGACTAGGTCATCTCATTTGAGACATCAACTATATCCACAATTTCAATCATCATTTCCAGCACAATTATCACCATCTGTGCGGCATGGCGCCCGATCACGGCCCGATCGGCTAGGCCATCTCACTTGAGACATCATCCTTTCAATCATTCATTTTACTTCACATTTCTTTCCCGTCTTTCAATATGTTGGCACGAGTGGCCTCATTTATTAAGTCGTTCTTGACATTTGGCCGTATTTTACAATTCAAGTTTTCTCTTTTTACGCATTCAACATTATTATCATGTCAATAGCAACAAGGCCTTTCATTCGAGACTTAATTACACATGGGAGAAATTTAGATTCTAGAGCACATAGAGGCTTTTCACACAATTTGACATAATAATCTTTATTCGAATTTGACTTGATGTCTAAGCATTTATAGCACATATTCCATATCTTTAACACATCCCCAAATAATAAGATAACACGATGAAAGCACAGGAACACATATTGCACATATATCCTTCAACGCAAGCACATTTGGAATAACAAGTTCTATACGATCAATTTGGGACTTACACCGATTTTATGAACACTGTGGGGTTCAATTCTAAGAAGATGGGGTTTTAACCATACATACCTCAATTGAGCCTCTTAAAACTTTAAGATATTCTGGAATTAGCAACTTTAATCTATTTTAGCAATATAGCAAAATTGAACCCAAAATTAAGAGAATGATCATAATTCTAATTCACTAGAGCATTCTATCAAACACTCTGTGCGTATTAAGGTTTCATGGCCCTTTTATGGCAATCTACACCGCCTACACCCTATTCTTTTCTATCTTTTACTCACAACCTCCCCTTATATCTTTAAGAACATATGCATACAAAGTAAGCACTTACATCCCTATGAATTATCTTATTAATTCCCCATTCTAGCTACATTTGGAAATTAGGAGATTGGGTGATAAAACCTTACCTCTTGTGAAGAAGACCTAGGTGCCTCTTTTGATAATCTTCAAGGTCTAAACAAGAATTGAAGATTTTTTTTGATGAAGAACACTTCCTCCCTCTAAGACTCCCTTTCTCACTCTAAAAGTACCAGAAAATAGGCTAAAAATGAAGTATGGCATGAGATATATCGACATAGGATCGGGTCTAAAAATTAAAAATTTGGAACCCCAACACGGATCTGCGGTCGCATATGAGACCACATAATGGCTATGCGGTCCGGGAAATGACCACAAAAAGTGGCCCTCAGGGACCTGAATTTTCTACCTCGGTCTGCGACCATTATGCGGTCCGCAGGCCTGTTCTACGGTCGTATAATGCACCGCAGAACCTCCCTTTGCAAAAGTCCAAGGACGATTATGCGACCAAAGTGCGGCCCGCGAAGTGGTTATGCGGTCGCATAATTGACTGCAAAACTAACCTCAAAATTGGCCAAAAAGACTGCCTCACTCTGCGGCCATTCTTCTGCCCGCAGAGTGATTACGTGGCCGCATAATGGGCCGCAGAAACACACACTTCTACAAAACAATTTCCTTTAACTCTTTCGCGTACTTTTCAATCCAAAAGGTTCGAACCGCCGCGAGCTTGCTAGCCGTGAAGAATTTCTACTATTATTAACCTCGACGCCTACTTCAGCATCACGAAATCTGGGGTTTTTAGGAAAATTTTTACGGGGCCTTACACTACACTCTATCAAAAACTTAACAACTCTTTACTTCTTGCTCATTTGTGTTGTTCTTATTGCTCCCGGTAGCTCTACGTCCGGAACCACAATATTGGCCGTCTATTTCAATTTCAAGGCTAAGTCTTATATTTCTGTTTAATTCATCAATTATTTTTGGATCAAATTAATTCACTTGTCTATAAATCACATATAAATTCAACTGTACCATTTTACGGGTAAATACTTTGGCGCCCACCGCGGGGCATAGACAGTCGTGTAATTGAAATTTATCCTTGCATCTGTTACTAACTTGTTTGATTTTTTGTTCTAGGGCTAGCATGTGGGCCGGTTAGGCCCGGGCCCGCGAGTCCATATGGGTAGTGGACCTAAACGGGCCTAACCATTTAAATTCGGGACCAGGTGGAGTGGGCTGCTAAGTGGGCCGGTTCAACCGGTCCTAAACGCGCTCAAACATGCCCAACAACTATTTTGAAAAAAAAATTTTATTCCAATTTTTTTTTAGCGGGTACAAAAGTTTAAAAAATGGCCGTTGGCCTGCAAAAATAGCCGTTTGCTCTTTCTAAAATAGCCATTTAATCTCCCCCAACTTTGTTTTAACCCCAAACTTTTTATAATTATACTTTTTTCCTATTTTCAACTATAAATACTCCTCATTCTTTTATTTTTCTCACAAAATCATCAATCTCTCAATCTCTCTCTCTAATTTTCTTCTATAATTGCTTGCTTTATTGTTGCAATTTGTGAAAAATTGTGAAGTTGGTGAATTGAAGTATTCAAATCTTTAACGATATATAATTTTCAACAAGTTGTTCGTCAATTTGTAAACTCGTTCCAAATCTTAAATTTTAATATTATAGTTTTGTTTTGTTTTATTTACTTTTGTATTGTTTGATTAATTAAGATGGATTTTTCATTAAAA